GAGCGAAACTCGAGTCTGGTGCTTTCGAGTGCAGGTTGATCAGATGTCCGGAGGCTTGTGCGTGGAAGGTGGAGTTCAAATGACAGTCAGCTAAACAGAGATTCATCAACCCCGCACACTACTCGCAAGCAATTGCATGATACGTATACCAAAAATGCGATGCCCGCTTAAAATGGTGGGGGGGGGGGGGGTTGTACGCCATCCTGTAGAGAAGACCTGACTTGGTGGCAGGCATTCGCTTGGAGTTAACGGGGCAGGTAATGTGTCTCAATTCGAAGCTGTCAGGCATCTCTGACTGCCAAGGAGGTGGACATCTGAACAAGCTTGCCTTAGCGAATCGGATCAGCCCGGAAGGGAGCTGGGTGGTGCAGTGGTAACCAGGCCACGTTTATGTACTATAGGCACAAAGCCATCGAAGTGCATGTAGAAGCCTGCCCCAATCTCTTTTCAATACACAGATCTAGTGATTGTGGCATCATTTCTCCTAGTCATATTGATGTCGAGGAAGTGCAGTGTATTGTCCGTTTCTGCTTCCATGCTTCGGATGGAGACGACTGAGTTCATCCATAATCCCGGTCGTCTTCTCCAAAATCTATATACATATTAGAGTATCGTTAACATATCATTTATAAAGTTCTGAACGCCCGAGGATTTTGCTCGCCTTTTCCTCCAGATGAGCCATAAATATATCTGCCAAAATGGGACCCAATGGACTTCCCATTGAAACACCCTCGATTTTCTTGTAAGCCCAACCAAGGAAGGTAGAGGATACTATTTTGTGCACAGTACCGATTGTCTTTCGAGAACTAACACTGGTATGGCGATTTTGAGTTGTTTTACTTGACATGGTTGGAGATGATACCTATGACCTACCGAACGGGAACTAACGTAGATAGTGATTGGACATCAAACGAAGCCACGTGTTTCCTTTTCGGATTAATCTGCACCAAAACCAGAAAGAATCAAAACGTGACTATACCTGAAAGAGCAGTCGACTGGGTCTCATTCAATTGTTTGAAATCGAACTGCATGGATTGTGAAAGTCGGTGCTTCCGATAGAAGAGCTTTCATTCCGTGTAGCAGCCTTTCTCGATCTAGCTGCTGATTCCACCTTCTAACGACCGCTACTAGATTCATTATATACACAAATATTAGGTCTTTGGGTGCAAAATCGTTTCATTTGAATTAGCCAGATTGAGTGATTCGATGAATTAGCCCCAGCGCACCAGTTTGTGTCCGTGCTTTCTGACCGATCAGTTGGACAATGATCTTGAGATGCATTTGAATCTTTCTTGTGAGTGTAACTGTCATATTTGCACTTACCGTTGCTCACTTAACTGCTTACTTTTGTACCAATATGCATGCCTAAATTACCTCAGCCTGTTTTAGAATTTCTTCGAGCGTCACAACTACGTGCTGAAAGTGACAGTTAGGGGCTAACGTGGTTGCTTTTGTTCCTGTCGATTTACTTTCAGTCTATTTTAATTCCCGATGATTTATACTTGATAACACTAGAAAAAATTAGTCGTCTGCTCAATGCGTTTATAAAAACAAATATTAACTTTTTCATCATGAAGCCTCAATGAATGTTTTCCTGTAAATCCAATACACCATATAATAATTCATTTCAACCGAATCCTTTAATTACAGCTGACCGATACAGCGAAGTGAGTTCAGATTCGATGCATTGTGTTGATTCAGCATAAAGTTCCAGGGATACCGTACAATATAGTTTTGCGGTCACATACGGTGAGAAGCCTAAGTTTGTTGGGATCACCGTGACCAGGTACTACATATTCGGTTTTGATCGGTCCATTTGTGACCTACTAACTGTCACCTTCGATTTTACCACCAGAGTGCAACCTTCCCAAATTACAACAACCTCTCTGCAGGAAACACTTTCGCTGTAAAAAAAAATTTTATAGAGGACCTCACTCTATGCAATAAACCCCCAGAACCGAACAAGAAACTCTTTCGTTGGGATTTTATTCCCTACAAGAAACATTTTCGGGCCAAATATCTTTGAGAATTTCGTTTTCCAAACAAAATTGGTAATGCATTTTTGTCTAAGGATATGATATCAGTTTTCCGGCTAGTTACCGCACCTGACCTATTAGGAGGTTAAGTGGATCTTGACTTCTAATCTCAGGGTCTGGCTGCAGGCTATTTTCTAGTAGTGCACTTGATCTTTGAGGCGATGGGGTATGCCTCGTCTGCTGTAATCATGTGCAGACATGTAAATCACCAGGTTATTGGGTTTTGGCGAGTTTAAATCATGTTGACCGAGTCTCACCTGGGTCACTCAGCAATAACGTTGGAGTCTTGGGTTTATTTTGGGGACGGAAGGGTTTCCGCCTCATGGTAAGACGTCGATGTCGTCCGCCTTTCAATGTGACTCAGACACTAGTAAAGTGAACAGTATTCCTACTGCTAGTAAGCCCGTGAGTCGTATTCAGTTGTTCTTAGAGTTATCAAGTCGACATAAGTAATGGTCATTCAGCTGGATTTGCGTAATCGCAAGTGCTTCATGAGTTCACCAAGAAGAAACTTTTAAGCCCTGCGTAAATTGACAGAGCTCCAACATTCGCTGCGGTTAATTTAACTGACGGAGTAGTCCAAACAAACTTCAGTGAAAGTTTTTTCCAAATGCGACCATATATGCTCAAGTGCTTTGGAATACATTTTTATACTCACTGTTTTTTATGAAGTTCGTATGTTGGACGATGGTGGTTTTAGTCACTCTTCCTTCGTGTCGAAAGGGGCGGTCATGGATTGAAACCAATGGGTTGGAATCCCATCTCAAACGCTTATGGTCGGTTCATATTGCAGCTGTTTCACGGGGATGTGACTTTGTTGAAAGTTATGGTTATTTTCATTGCAACATCTAACCTGTATGTGAACATGATGTAGCTTGGTTTAGGAGATGAAGCACCTTCGCAAAGACCATTGTACCCAGATTTTTGCAAGAATAAAAATTAGAAGAATCTAGGATGATACTTAACCCTTATGCGAATTAGTTACGGCGTAGATGTTACTTTGACTGCAAGAAACCGTTTCAATGGAAAAAGATAAGAATACCAGATAATAAATGGTCCTTCTTATCAAATTTACTCTGCAGTGCTTTGTCAGTTCAGTTAGTCTCGTACGCAGCCAGACAGCCACACGCGCATGCATCGTTATTGACGGCTTATTGATTCATACCTGTTCACTGCCACGACTAGTCACACATGCATGCACACACGTACGCACATAATTGTGGCTCTACCCATGCTTGCTCTAACCAATCAGACTTTGGCACTGAGCCATACCTGCCAGTCGATTCCTTACTGCTGAGCGGCCTGCTTGACCGCACTCGATCGAGTGTACAGCTTGGGCTTGCCAACAGATGTTCCACTTGTTTGTTTGCTTGCACGCTTACGTGCGTGTTTACTAATGGGCTAATAAACGGATTCGTTGCGCACTGTTCTCCGTTAATGTCGAACAAAACATGTAGAATGGCTGAAAAACGCAAAATGCATGTTTTGAGCAAACTCCGCGTTAAAAATGATACCAATCATTTGACTACTTCCTTTTGATAATCTCCCCTCTAAATACTATACCTATCAGCAAGAAATGATTTGAGAGATCCCAGTTAGCGTTTTTTGGCTAGGGGGACCACTGAATATACTAAAGAGTTCTGCCATAAAATTAAGATTCGGCTGTGTAGCCTTAAACTCCTGTGGTGAATCAGCAGCATTACGCGGAACATGGCCCAGTACACCTTCGTGGCCACATGCGCCTAGGAGCTCCGGTCCATCAGAATCGACGTGAACGGCTGCAACAAAAACTTGTTGTGGTTGGTCAACATGTGATTTGCTGATTGATGTCACAGATTTATGCAAATCAATTCAGCTGTCAAATTAATGTACAGTTTCGCAGCGTGAAACTTTTCACCATTTTGGTTTGAGCGGTTTTGGGTTGGAACGTTTTTAATACGTTCTCTCAGTCCAGACATTGCGAATAGTACTTCTTGCTAATTCATTGTGCGAAGTTCCGGCTGGGAACAAGTGCGATAAGTTCTATCACGAGCAAAACCCAACTTTTTGAACAGACCAGGTTTCTAAGCTGAACTGATGTTTTGGTTAGAAGTGAAAAGTAAGCTTGTGTTTGAATAATAGCATCTGGAGCACTAGGGCGCTCATTAGATAGACATTTTCAGTGTGACTCCCCTTTTCTTCTATCTCCAAACTATATATCATATCATCCAATTTATTCTTCAGTGTCATAAGTATTCTGTTAAAGTGTGTTTGGTTAGTCTGAGCTCCGTAAAATGAAGTCAGTTAATGACATGCAATCATAAAAAAGGAGAGAAATAGAAATAGCAAAGTCTTTCACAAATTACAGTCCTAGTATGGAAGGTCTGAATAAGTGACAAGAAAACTATAACTGAAGGAACTGTCATCAGAATCTGTGGGAGGAAGTGTGCAGGCACCGAAAATTGGTGATGTATGCCTAGTTATACTCTTTAAAACAGTGCAAGTAGTATCGAGTTTTAAGTCAATAAAGGCTTTTCAGGCCACAGTCTCAGAAATAAATGATTCAACACCATTAGTGTCAACAATGAAATCATGCTGAATCTTTTTACCGACCAGAAGAGAACGCAAACTATTTCTCTGTATTTGTACAACCACGGCGAAGGAGAACTGGAAGCGACATGTGAATCGACAAAGTAACTTCACACCCGAATCACATTGGCCAAGCGCACTCTTTGTTCTAAAAGTATAATTCCTATTCCTCTGTGATTATGGTTGGCAGGTATTCCTGTTTGAATTGGCGGGGACTTTAAATGACCTTTGGTCTGCCCAGAACTATGAATACACAGCATGATGAGAGATGCAGATTCAGTTCGGTTGTTCACATCTTGACATTGCTCACAGATTTCGCGAACATATTGAAGAGTGGGATTAAGTAGAGGCAGTTTCTGTAGCAATTGTTGACAATTGATACAAGCAATTATACGATCACGAATTTGTGTTTTTCCAGTTGATCTGCATAGTTGCAACGTGCAGTTTGTATCCGAAGCTGAAGAACAAACTCACAAATTTACTCTGAATCTTTCCGTTGGAGTTGATGAAACTTGGCCCGTTCAGCAATTTCGAAATGAACTGGTTAGGTGTGCCGAGATTTTCGATTTCTTCGTATTTCATGGAACCAGGTTTCTGTGGGAATGATACGAGAATACGCCGAATTTCCTACGGTACACAAGAAAACAATAGTTTTGCGTTCATCAGAAGTGCTTTTCACAAGAACTACACCAAAATTAGAATTTTTTGAGATAATCCTTTCTCCCGTAAGCGGGAGCATTCAAGTGCAGGAATTCCATACTCCAGGATTGCATGATTTAGGCCAATTTCCGCGACGATGAATGTGAAACATTGTCCCACGGAAACAATAAAAATGGCGACCCCAAATCGGAATGGAGTAGTAACAACAACTGAATTGGAAGTAGGAATTAGACTTATTTATTTATATAATTCAAGGTAAGTGATATCGAATGCAATCATTTATGTAACACAAACGTAGTTTATTTACGGTCACCACGCAAGTTCCGCTTGAATCCACGTTTATTAAATGCTACCATCTTCGTGGATAACTACAAAGCCGGTTCGACCGAAGCCCGACCCACCGATGCCAACGTGGCTTCCTAATCTGTATAAAATTGCGAACGCTATGCATTCGGATATCTGCCTACCTTGATTGGTTAGTTGACCATGTCACCCTCACTTCGGGGCCAATTATTAACTTTAGTGATTCTTTGGTTGTTCGCATTTTCGGTGCCCCATTGGAATTGACTGACCAATCAAGCGCAGGTGGTGAACGGTAGTTGGTCATGGTTTCCATTGACTAGTGTTTCGCGACCTGCAACACGCTATCTTGTCAACCGATTAGGCGCTGAATAACCAGGTTCAGTGTGGATTGGAATATGGTCCGTACTTAAGCAGCCAGCCGTATTAGTTCTAGACAGTTATCTTACTAATAATCAGTAGGGGAAATTCAATACACTGTGTCCCCTTTATTCAATTACCGAGAACAGACAGAAGACAAATTTCAAGATGCAAGTATTCCGTTTACTCTTGTCCACCGTGACCGTGAAACATATCAGTATACATACGGTACAGTTAGGGCGTAAACGTAACGGAAAAGCAGGTAGGATCGAAAGTTCTTACGGTACGTACATTGGGGAGAATGAGGTTTGTTGTGCTAATGTCAAAGTAAGCAAGTACTTTCGGTCAATCGCTTTTGTGCGCAGAATGGTAGCTCATGAATCACGATAAGAATCGCTTCACTGAACGCTTATAGTTTCGATGTTGCCCAATAATCCCTTGAAACATTGGGTCAGGTCAACTTTGTAACCCGATGCAATCAAAGCAGCTGGCGGTTTCTTGTAACGAAATACTTGCGTCGGTCGACCTATGTCGTCTTCCTGTTATCATGATCAGTTGGATTGCTTTGTTTCTGTGTGAACCACATACTTCTTTCGTCTTGGTACTTCTATGAAGGCGTACAAACGCCACCAGGGCTGGCACTTTGATTTATATCCACTACCCGTCCCCGGGGATATTTCTACACTAATGAACAGCTGTACCTGTTTTGCCATACTAAACGTAGCAAAACTAATTTCTAATGTAAGTTACACTCCAGTCTCGGTAGTTGCTAGCGAGAAACACTCGCCGTAGCCTGCATCGATTCACGCGACTGCCTTTCAGCGTAAAAACAGAAAAAACTATCTTTCAATAAAGAATGGCAACATGTAGATTGATTTATTGGGAACGGTTGTATACCTTGATGAAATTATTGTGACAGGACGTTCCGCTGAAAAACTTAACGGCCGTTTGACAGAGATTTCTCAACATATCCAAAAAATTTGGGTTTCGAATATGTCGAAAAAGCCCATTTTTTTGAGACGACCAAGCACCTTGGGTTTGTCTTTGACAATTTACGAGTGACACATTAAATGTCAGCCGTAAAGAGTATTTCATCGCTCCGGCCACTCCTGGGCGTAATGACTTACTGCATTGCTTTTCTGTCAGAATTACATCGGACGTGGGCACCACCTAATCAAATTATACGATAGGATTACCCTTGCTGTTCGTCTCAGCAGCGCTGTAGTGGCATTCAACCCTTATTTTTTGTTTAACACACATCAGTGTTCATGTGAACTCGCACCACCAAGCGCAGTGGCCACTTAAACGTTGCCCGTGCACGCTACACGCACGCTTCTCCAATATACACTAACCACTCTCTCCCTACCTATATTGTTCTCCTTCTCATGGGTTGTGGGAAACAATGTCGTGGTGATCGTGATGGTATATTGCAGAGTACCACTGTAACGAACAGGTGGTCCAAGCGTGTTGGGAAGGAGTAGCGAACGTACGTAATAAGGAATTAGCATGATAAGGTCTAACCAACTTTACAGTGCCAATTATCACTTGGCTAACTAAAACGAATGCTGACGTTGAAAATCCCGTTACCACAGTATAGTTCCGAATTGTTGATCGTCGTGGCTGCTGATGATTCCAAATATGATGCTACGGCTGCTATTCTCCATATATCACACGAGGAAGATGAGAAAACTGTGAGGGTATGGCCCAACACATCGCTTGATGGACAGTTTAACTTCACTGACAGACAGTACGTCAGAGTCGGCCCCTACCGAGCCCGCGAAACCACGGACAGCATGACTGCCGATTGATGGCGTGAATCGTCAGACGAGACGAATCTTGCCAGCGGCATTCAAGCCTCAAGGCGTGGTCGCCCACACCAGTCGGACCAATGCGTCGTGCAACGAGTGGGCGTATGTGACGGAAACCCATACATTCTTTGTTTTTCACGGATAAAACTAGATGATTCTAAGGCAGATCCGAGCTCTCACTAGCGCTAGTGGGACGGAACAAAACAAAAACTGACTCAAGCATCCCGCAACTCAAGTTCTGATGAAATAAATTACGGTCAGACTAAGAAAAACGCCTTTGGTATCATTTTCATCATCAAAAAGGACCACAAATTTTAACAAGGTCGTCATTCCACGTTACTTATGGACCACAAAACTACGGTATGTCATGCTGAAACAAGCTCGGTGACCATCCAGGACTGTCTTGTGAACGCAATAGCCAAAGGTTCCACACTGGCCTGAAATGGATGACGCCATCAACAATGCTGTTCGTCAATACTGGCCGTGCCGACAAGCGTCAAACCCCCCCCCCCCCCCCAGCTTACCACCAGTTTGATCGTAAAACCCTGAAAATCCACGATGACTTTGTTACACCCATTGCGGGTACCTTCGACCTGGTAGTTGCCGACGCTGTTTCGAAATGACCAGAAACAGCGAAACCACTTCTCATAGAACTGTAGCGACCTGGAGATGACTAAATTTGAATGTGTAAATTCATGACCAGAAATTACTCTAGACAAACAACCAATTAGCACTTAGATTTAAGCAGTTTGTATGTTGTTCGATGCCACAGGGCTGTGCGTTGTTTGTCTGCTTGCAGTAAGGACAATTGGTTTCCGCCAACTGAAAAACACGTTTGACTGCTCTGCTTGCGGACGGTTGGACGTTTAGCTCCCTTAGCTAGTAACGCGTCCGGTGTCACTCCCAAACGTAAATGTGAAAGACACTGTTTCGATACAAAACATCCTTCACCTATTCCATCGACTTTTACCGTCTTTTGGCAGGCGTTGGAACTTTTGGCTTGTTGCCCGTTCCATGGGCCATTCTCGGGATCTAGTTAGTACCTAGTATCCGGAGAACTAGAGAACAACAGCAGCCCTCCGGCGAATGTTTGCACAACATGGACTACCCAACCAGATGGTGTACGACAACGGATCTCAAGTCGCACTGCCCCCTTCTCACACGTTTTTCAAAAACTCGATATTGAGCACGTTCACATCTTTGTAACACCCACAATCTAACGGACAGGAGATACGTTTCGTAGACATTCAGAGGGACGCTGCTCAAATATCGAGGGTGGGGGGACAACTGATAAAACCATCGCGAATTTTTTGTTCCTGTACTGGACAACAACAAACGTAACGTTAATTCAGTACGTTGTGTGAAATTCTCATACATATTCCTTTTCTCACTCCCGTGACTTTTATCAGCATGTTACCCGACCCTTTCCAACCACGTCGACATACACTTTTCCCCTTTCCTTTCACATGTTGAACCCGGTTACCTTGCCTCGGTTCACCTTCCGTTTTCCTATGAGTGTACTTTTACAGTAGACCAATTTCCTATTGCGATCAATCCAATGGTCTACGGCCATCAAGCTTTTGTGCGTCATATGTGCCCGACCTTGTGTGTCATGTTAGCCTCCGTTCTTTGTCGGCTTTCTCACCCACACCGCACGAGTGACCTTTGTACCTTCCTCCCATGCTAAAACTCACGCCACGTCTGCGTGATGGGCTAGGTCAAGCGTGTGTGCAATGCTCTTGGTCCATGTCTGAACTAATTTCATGGTCATATTTCTGTCCCTCCGTCTCATGTACGCCTTCCATTCTTTCCTGATTGGTCGGTTGTTCTTTCTATAAAACATCAATTTCACCCTATTCCGATGACTCGGTCCCGTATTGCTCAGCGAACGTTCCTCGCCAAACCCTTCAGACGATTCGAAGTCTATTCCCGGACCCTTGTGATTGGATTGCCCCCACAAAATTGAGGTATGTTGCTTGTAATCGTAATGACTGTTCTCTGAAGTACACGTAGATCACCGACTCGTCTTATTCGATTTGGGTTTCGGGTACGTGTTCTACGAGTCGCTCATTCACTGGACAGCGGTTCAGTTACAACAAACACCAACACTCCAATTTCACGTTCTGGGCAGAGCTAGAAGACATGACACTGCGGTCAAACTGACTTGCTGTAGAGGTATGAAGAAGCTTGCACCAGCACTGAGCTCAGCTGATGTATTCCAACTTCCAGGTATTGTTGGTTGGACACTAAAGCATATGGCTCAAAATGGATATTAGAGGCGAATATCATGCAGTGCTAATGAATTTTCCAAGCTCCACAAGTATTGATAGACGTTATGACAGACAAGTGCAAAAAAGTAAAAAGACGGTTCGGTTTTTTTTAATGAGATCACTTGTTTATCGCTACTAGACATCATAAAAAATTGACACAAATGAGCGCAAAATGATACTGGAGGCACTCTCTCTGCCGACTACTTTAGTCGAAAAAGAACCGTGAAGT